TTGTCGATCGATTCACGATTGTCGATTGAATCGGTGTCGATCGTTTCACGTCCATCGATTCACGTTTTTATTTTTCGATCCATTCATGTCGATCGAATCGACACAGATGTTTTTAAATTAACTGTCGATCGAATCGGTGTTGATCGATTCAAGTTTTCATTTTTCGATCGATTCATGTCGATCGAATCGACACCGGTTTTTTAATAATTTGTCGATCGAATCGGTGTCGATCGATTGACGTTTTAATTTTTCGATCGAATCGACACCGGTTTTTAAAATAATTTGTCGATTGAATCGGTGTCGATCGATTCATGTCGATCGATTCACGTTTTCATTTTTCGATCATACCCTCCAACAATTTTAACTGTGTTCGTTTCATATTAATCTGATAAAAAAATAAATGAAAGTAAAACACAGAGAGCAAAACTAGTTTCTCATTCGAGAGAGTAATAAAAACGCAGTCAATCAATTTTCCTTGTGATTAAAATGCTGAAAATTATCTAACCGCATCTCTCGTCAATTCAGGAAAGATACATACAAATGAGAGAGAGAAGCTGACGTGAAGCTTTTGAGGAGGGGAAAAAATCCGGCTTAAGAAAAGAGTTTAACAGTTAACAGTCGCTACAGTTTAAGAACTTTATTTTAGATTTTTAGAATTTAAATTTTTTGATTTCAAAAATTTTAACTTTTAAACTTTAGAATTAAAATTTTTACTTTTTAAATTTTATAATTTTTATTTTTCAATTTGATTTTTATGTTAATGTTTTACAACATTTTTAACAATTTTTTCAGACTCAATGGATCAATAGTGTATATATACCATAACTATTGTAGTAGAAGGTATATAGTGAGTAGTATGGTAAGTAAATAAGTATAGTAAGTACTGTACGTAAGTAAGTAAGTAAGTAAGTAAGTAAGTAGGTAAGTATAGAATGAGTAGTAGTGAGTATATAGTTGTGGTGGTAGTAATATATATGTATTATTGACCTATTGAGTATGAACAAATTGGGAAAAATGATAAGAAGCATTAATATAAAAATAAAATTGAAAACCAAAAATTTTAAAATTTTTAAAGTAAAAATTTAAATCTAAAATTTAAAATATAAAAAATTTGAAATTAAAAAATAAATTTTTGAATTGCAGAGGATATAAATTTTAAACTATAAATTTTATTGCAGTAGAAGTTGTGAATAAGATATTATACACGGTGTACTCACGGATTAGGACCTGCAGCGTAAGCGTTGTGATTCCGGTATCTGACTGCACTTCACCACTACAAAACAACACAACACCACTGGCTGACCTACATGACCTGATCACCCATGAAGCTTCGCTTGCTGAACCCCGACTGACTGAAATTTAGGGTTGGGTTTGCCCTTTTGTAACCTCGTAACCTGTTGGTTTGTAGCCACCACAAACAATCCCCCCCCCCCTTTGCTGACCCCTCCCGCAATTAGGATGTATTTCAGAAACTATTGCTTTGTTTTCCAGTGGCGGAAAATCCGAGCTTTGCGGAATTTTAGGAAGGGGTGCATTCCATCGTAAACATCATTAAGATCATTCGGATACAGGAAGGCGGGGTCCTTTGTTCTACTGAGGTGGATGATGGACATTACGTGTCATTGTAATCAGGACATGGAAATCCCCTGTTTTGTTTCTTTGGCGGTCCGGTCAAGAAAGCTCTGGGCTGCAAAACAATTACAGAGGGGGGGGGGGGGGGTCGTAAACAGGAAAAATAACACGGAAATAAATTATTTCGGAGACAGATCCGTAACAGTGAAACTGCAAAAAATACTGAACTACAAAGAGAGAGAGGGGGGCGGGGGGCAAAGTCCAGAGATAGTCTCTAAGTGGATCAAATTTTGGAAAAAGGAACCAACGCAATTACAGTGTTGTAAAAAGATTGCGTCTTCATAATTATCAAAGAAATCTCCCAGAATAACAAATAATAGTTCTGGCTTCTCACGAAACAATTGTTAGTTTTGAAGGAAAATACTGAAGGTAAGTTCTAACACTGTACATAGATTATAAGTAATTTTAAACGTACAGAAGAAGGTGCACGATCTTGAAAACACTGTAATCGCGCTGGTTCCTTTTTGCTAAATGCCATCCAAGTGAATTGCGTAGTTCCACAAACAAAAGCGGTGCGTATCACGATAATATTAACATTATGTATTGGTGAGGTATGGTATGAATATTTCTCCTTGAAATATTTAGATAGTTTTGATGAAATCGCGATTAAAATTCATAAACAAATTTGGGGGGGGGGCACAAATTCCCCACAAAATTCCCGTTTTATCTCACAAATTTTGGCAACGTCCGAGGGCTCATAGGACGTTCTTTCGCAATGCAGAGTTCGGACTGATGGGATTTGAGTGTTGACTTCAAACATTTTTTCTGCCGATTGATTTTTCTGGCTATCGATGAGAGGTATTCTGCAGCTGGGCCTGCTCTCCCTAGATCAGGGTGTCTACAGGTCCGGAAAACCCGGAGATTACTCTTTCTTTAGGGTGGCTCCAATGGCGTGGCGTGCTTTGCGATATATCGATTGTTATGCCATTTAAACCTATGGAAAATAATCGATGAACAGGGTGTTCGCTACGAACACCTTAATAATTGATTCTTTACCATAGGTTTAAATGGCAGAACAATCGATACATCGCAATTCACGCCACGCCACCGCGTGGCTCGGAAGCACTCGTAATGCGTGGTTTTCAATGACAGCCTGGAAAGTATGCAATCTCTTGCGCACTAATTCTTTGTCTTGCATCAACGCACGTTTTACTTTCCTTCTCAAGCGTTAAAGTCTCCCAGTGATTCTATCGTGCTAAGGGAGAACGCCGTGCGAGCATTCGAAACTTGCCAAATTTCCTCCAGTAAAATGTTCATTTTTGAGAAAAGTTATGAACATTTTTCCTTGAAATTTTCAGGAGCTTTAGGTGAAATTGCAATCAACATAATCTGAAAAATTGGGAGAAAAATATTCATAAGTTTACCAGGAAATTCGTGTTTTATAAATGAAAATTTGAACTAAATTAAAAACTACCGAGAGAACTGAGCACGAGGATACTTTTGGTTCATAGATTAATTAATTACTGAAAGAGATACAACAAAATGATTTAATCCGCTGGAATACATGTTTTGAAATAGGAAATCAAGTTCAGCGAATATTGTATAACACAATGTCTAAAAGGTAGTAACACTGAATATATTGGTATGTAGGGTTTAGCCAAGTGCTAGAGAAAATGTAACAATTTTATATAATATAAAAAAAAGACACTTACATTTTATTGATAAACTTTGACCGAAACTTTTCGAAGCAAGCGCTTCATCGTCAGGGTCACAACACAAAGTATAAATCGCGAGCAAATAGTAAAATCAGACATTTTGTCAAATGCCTAGGCAAATAATCAAATAAATTAACATAGATTGAAATTTTGATTATTTTCCTAATTTTAGACAAAATATGTAATTACTCCCGTAAGAAAAAATTATCAGTAAAAATTTGCATCACACAAAAGTATTTTAAATGATTTTTAGCTCCTGAGCCGCCACTTATCTTGAAATTTGGAGCATGTCATAAAAAACAGAATTTTTAGAATTTCAACGTTTAAAAATATGAGAAGCATCGAAGAGGCATCGACAAAAAGAGTTCGTAGGTTTAACGAGATATTTTTCCCTAAAATACTGAAAACTCGTGAGATCTCCGCCATAAATTCACAAAATTTTGTAGACCTTCAAAATTTAACTATCTGCCTAGGCATTTGATAAAATGCCTGATTTTACTATTTGCCTGCGACATAAACATCACAAAGGCCATACTCTCAACAATAGTTGGATCTTTCTATCCATGTTATGAGTTTTTAAAAACAGACGCATGAACAATAAAATAGGACTGGTAATTTATGTTAAGTTTAATTATAATAAAAAGTAAATGGTGAATTTAAAATATTCCGAAAACATTTGCGACAATGACCTTTAGATCCGAGGAAACAAGGTTAGAAGAACAGGGAGAAGGTTAGAAGAATAGAACAGAACAGTCTGAGACGTTCCGCCAGAAATGTCTTCCATTTCCAGCTGAACCGAGGCATATGTGGACGTGCTTAAATCGAAAGAGACTATATTCATTGTGGTATGAGTCCTGTCATGCATATATTCTCACGGATCTCAGGGCTCTTGTCAGAATGGATATAGTTTCTTTTGATTTTATAACGTCCATGTAAGAGTGCATCCATCTCAGGATCGGAGTGCGAAGCATTGACAAGTTACGAGACCTCGACAAAACATTTCTGGCGAAACTTTTCATGCTTTGCTTTTTTCTTCTCAACCTTGTTCCCCAAAATCCGTTCATGTAAAACCCATCGCCATGTATTATAAATATAATGGACATAATATGGATGTAAACGAATATATTTAAATCTGTGTTGAATAATCGAAGTCTTGTCCGAGCATCTGGCCCCTCCAAGAATCGATATATCGCAGGCAATTAGCAATCGCCGGCAATTTGCAAGCAGCTCTCACGTTGTTTCAATAAATCGCAATAATGCGCATCGGCAGAATGCAATTTTTAAGGGTCATGGTCCTCAAAAGTATGAGATCGGCTTGAAGCGCCTTCATTTTTTGTGATAATCTACGCTTTGTCATGGTGTTAGTTTAGTTGCCTGTCCGATCTTAACCTAACTAATGTTACGGAGTTCACTACACGCTCTTCTGGGTGTATGCATTGTGCATATTCCTGCCATGTTTTTAAGGATGGAGAAGTGTCTATTCACATCATAGGCAACGTAATTAGCACACTAATCTTATTCTTTTATCTTTGAATTTTATGATTTTCTGTATTTATTCACTACTAACTTGTAAATTGCCGGCGATTGCCAATTGCCTACGACAGATTCATTTCCATAGGTTCAAATGAGAAGATGACAAGGGTTCTGAATTGTTGACAATCCAAAACTGGCCCGCAAGTCCTCGATCAGAAACGACGTTTAAGTTAAAACTGTTTTTTTTGTGTGTGACGCATTGTGCGAAAGAATACTCCATTTGGCAAAATAGAACAAAACTCAATAACTAAATTTCGTCGCTCCGTTGACGCAAGAGCGTATTTTCATTTTCATGTGAGTCCTGAAACACATTAAGCTGTATGGAATATAGAGCTCAACTCAGAAAGTAATTACGCCCTTTTACGTTAGAGGAGTGATGATATTTGATCCAGCTAAACCTATAAAATTTGTCACCGTGTTAAAAATTTACGCATATTTTGAAATTTTGAAAGGTCCCTCCTAATTTCTTTCCCAGGAGCAAATTAAACTGTCAAAACTTTCACTTTCTTACAATCAAATATCAAAACTAGAGAATCTTGACAACTGCCCCCAGTTGAAGGTCCTGGTTTGCAGTAACAACTTACTCGCAGATTTGGATGACGTAAGTCAGTTTTTCTATTCAATATTTTCTAGACCTCATCCATCCCTCAACTGTCAAATTCTCCCAAGTAAGTAAAGGAGGAGACAGATTAGATGAAGATTCACCTTTAATATATGGAACCTCTATAAGCTTTTTCATCCTAGATTATTCCCCTTTGATAATTCAATGGTAGATGAGTAATGAAACTCAAGATACACTAATTGAACTACATTTTGCAATTCGAAACTACAATGTCCTGCTCAGTATAGAAACAACGTATGTGCCATTAGTTCTCCTCTATATGTACTTCAGTGTTTTTAAGGATGAGGCAGAAATTGTAGATTCTAATTGCAAAATAAAGTCCAATTGGCGTACAAGGTGCCAAGATCTCGTAAGTACCTCTTATTTTTGTAAAAGTAATTGAACTGCATTTTGCAATAAGGAACTACAATCTCTAACTCGCACATAAAGAACACCTATCTGCGTAGAGAAACTCAGCCGAAAGAGAGCGCAAAACAGGGGTTTCTAATTGCAAAATATAGTTCAGTTGAACAACATTTTGCGATTAGGAACTACAATTTCTGGCCCATCCGTAAAAACACTTAAATGTACGAAGGGAAAATAATGTTATATAAATCGTTTCTAAACCTAACCATTAATTTTAATCCCTAATTGCAAAAATGTGGTCCGATCAGGGCTCCCCTAAAAATCGTCACATTGTGGCCCTATCAATCAAGTAAATAATGGCAAGTATTTTTTGGACGTTTCTATGCTAAAAGGGATTATGTGCGCAAAGGGTATATGCATGCAACATAATTCCTTTCAGCATAAATACGTCCATTTAGAAAGGAGACCAACGCACCTTAAATCAGGCATCTTGGTCAAAGTACGAGAAGTATGATAGCGATTTAACCAATAAATACAACTATTCTTGCTCTGGAGATGTGTGTGTTGCATATTCAAGGAGTTGAAGGCGCTCGGACATTTCTTGCCCGCGTAACCGCGCGCAGGGCCCTGAGCGGTAGCTTCCATATTATAGCGTCGCTTCTCTGGTATAGGGGCGTAGGTCAATTTCAAGTTTGTTGAGCCTTGTTTTACAAGTAAGTCCATTCTTCTTGGGGCTCATGAGGAAATCGAGATACGCCCGAACGTCAGAGCTGCGACGATAAGTTGCCGGTGAGTTTTTACTCCGATGAAAGGATGACGCAAATTTGAATTAATTTAGACGTTTTATCATGATGTAAACCCGTTTTGATTTCAGATATTTTTTTTATTTCTTTACATTTAATAAGATAAGATTTAATTATATGATGGATAGAGATTTTGAAGCCTCATAAACTAGATACTCGTTTTTGTAGTTTCACAATTGATATGGAATGTTTAATAGCATGACATGGGATACGCGGGACATAAGAAACCCTTTATAAGCCATCAGATTCTGATCGAATAGTAGATTTCCGGCTCACCAGTAAAAACACTTATGTGCATAGGGCAATACTAATGGTACATACTTTGTTTCTAAACTTGCCAGAAATTGTAGTTCCTAGTTTCAAAATGAAGCCCAATTGGACTAATCTAAGAGGGAAGAAATCGCATTATTTTACGGCTTATTTTATAAACGACTTATCTCCCATCGATTTCACATACATATAGGTGCTCTTAGACGTAACCATACATTCCAATTATTCTTGACTAAGCATCAGTTCGTTGGTAGTATTTCATTTCAGCATATTATCCTCTTTCAGAAGAACTCGCATGCATTTTCGTCAAACAATTTTGATACACCTATCAAAATCCCGAAAAAAATTACAGGCATGTCTACACGGAAAAAAATTGATTGCTGATTCAAAAATTAAACTGTTTATATATCTGACATGTTTTAAATGTAAATTTGACAATAGTGGAAAGTAAATTTAATCTCGGGGGTAGTTTAATTGGCATTTTTTTTTTTATTGTAAAACCTACATTGAAACATGTCGGACACTTTTTTTTAACTACAAACTTGTTAAATCAGCAATTTCATTTATTTTCGTGTAAAATAAAGAGGTTTTCCGTGGAAAATGTTGAAATGTAATAGTAGAAGTATTTTCTATTTTAAAATATTTGTGCTCATATCACCGTTATTATTTTTTAGATTCAATATTTGCGTAAGTTCGAACACTTAAGAACTTTGACAATGATCGGGAACCCTTTCTCGAATGCTGGCAGTTTCGTCGACCACGTGGCTAAAGAATTACCGCAGTTGGTTTATCTCAATTTCCAAATGTTGCGGACGAAGGATGGCAAAGACTCTCGACTTCTTCTAGTGTAAGTGTCGATATATCGATTGATCTGCCATTTGAACCTATTGAAAAGGATCGATAGGCAGAGTGTTCGCAGCGAATACCTTAATAATCGATTCTTTATCATTGCCTCAAATGGGGAAATATCGATAATCTATCATTCACGCCTCGCCCCTATAACATGACGCATGAAGCAGTCTCCTATTGTTTCTCCTTTCTTTCTTTATTCCTTTTTTCAGCGGATTCTTCGACACTTTCCTTTTAGATTGCATTTATCAAAAGGAACTAGAAGACATAAGCTGATGTCAAATTGTATTGGATTTTTTTTTTAATTTCGAAAAAAAACGATAACGATTCGGTCGATCAAAGAATCGCTATCAATTACGATTACCTCACGTGTTATAGAAACATCAATAAAAACAGACCCGTTTTCAGGGATTTTTTTTTGTACGACAAATTGGGTAAACATTACAGATCTAAGGGTTGAAAATGAAAAAAAAAATTCGTTCATAAATATCACATATCTGAAACAAAATTATTTCAAAATCAGAATCTTCTCTCGTTACATCTTCTGCCTCTTCGAAATGAATCTTCAAAGTCACGTTTTAAACCAAGGTTGAACATGCACAAACGAGTTTTTGGCCTTAATGATATATTTTCTTTGATTACAGTCAAAGAAAATTCGCCGATGATATGTCGAAAGTGAGTCATCACATTAAATTTGAAGGAAAAATATACGAGAGTGAGCTAGAACTGCATACAGATGCTTTTGTTGAGTATTTAGAGGACCACCAGCTTTTTGATTCTTTTGGTTTATCAAATGATCTAAGAGAAATATACGTCGAGACAACAGAAACACAAATCCACTGCGACAAGTAAGTTTTTTCTTTTAAAAACTTTACATTACACGTATTATACGTATTACATGTATTACGTTGGGTTAGGCTAACGGCTAATATCGTGTTGAGGATTTCTTTTCAATAAACTCCTAACTGACGAACCAAAAATCCTGCCCACGGGTCGAGTTAAGCCAGTAGACGTAGATATTTCTTGAATACAGATTGTTTAAAATGAAAAACCTATTGTTTAAAATGAAAAACCTATTGTTTTAAATAATAATACCTTTCATAAAAATCAGGTTTCAGTCGGCTGTTTTCGAGTGCACGCATCAAATTTTTGAACTTGGACTTAAACAGCTGTCTCTTCGAATTCAAGAGTTGAATGACTACAATGAGTCAATGACCAAAATTGAACAAGATTTCGCTTCTACGAGTAGCGGGTGAGTAACAAACCTCATATTCACTTGAAAGAATTGTTCGTTATTACCTACATTGTACGACTTAAACAAGTCGTCACCTTCCAGGCAAAGTATCACAAGCGCCATGCGACGTTTAAAAATTTCCGCTGCCATTTTATTTTTTTACAGAGAAATTGTTCAACGAAGCTGTCCGAAAATTTCACTGAATTTTCTTTGTGCTGCCGATAAAATTTAGTGAAATTTCCAAACAGATTCAACCAACAATTTCTCAGTAAAGAAATAAAATGGCGGCGGAAATTTTTAAACGTCGCATGGCGCTTGTGATACTTTGCCTGGAAGGTGACGAAGTGTCAAACACTATGTCAGTTGCGATCTCAGGGTTGGAATGCAACTATCATTGCTTGAAGGATGTCCGAATTGCATGCTTAAAGAATGACGGCGCTTTAACGTTCCTTACACTCGGAATACAAATGCACACTCTCTTGGCTTACAAAATTCTCTCCCCTAACAAAACTTCGATCTACTGAAAAAGGGGAACGAAAAAACATATTTTGTGCCCATACTGCCGTCCTAAGGAGAAACGCCTTATAAGCTGTTAGACGTTGCCAAATATTCCCTGATAAAATATTTACTCTTTGAGGAAAGTTATGTATATTTTTTCTTGAAATTTTCATATATTATAGATTGCGAAAAATATTTGCAATATATTTTGAATTGATAGAGTGCAGTTGATTGCGAATTGCAAACAAAAGCGTCTGAAAAATTAAATATTCAGAATTTTCTCAGTGAATTCGGTTTTTATCGAGGTAAGTGTGGCATGTGGCAACGTCTGCAGGCATGCGGCATTTTTCTCTTAGCACGGCAGCATTCTAATCGCATAACTCCAAAAATTCCATTGATTTTCGTTTAAAAATGAATGTTCTGAAGTCCATTTTGTTGCTTGAAATGCGCACAGAATGATTCAGACTAGGTACAAAAATATAAACCAAAAATCGTGATGAAAAATATTTTTCTATTCCTTCACGCATACGCATTTCGATGTTGGTTTCTGTAGACTTATTGATCAGTTCGGGGAGGAGAAGAACACCATATTTTCCGACCTAAAGAAACACATGAATAAAATGTCGAGGCACAAAAATGAGGAAGTATTGGGGGAGCTGAAGAAGTTGCAGGATACTTTTGAAACCCACTTGCAGAAAATATGGTTTGAGTTGATGCGCCTTGAAGATATTCGCAGCATTCAAATAAAGGTCAGTATAAGAGACAGTTCGAATGTTTTTATCTATCCGCCATACTTACGCCAAACTATACCCAACGGGAATTTTTAACAACTGCCATGATTTTCCTTCTTAGAGCCAAGAATATTCTGCGAAAACTTCAAGGAATAATGTCGATTTCTTCTCCCTTAAAAAAATTAAAAAGAGGCGGAGATTTTCAAACACCGCAAACGAGATACGTCGTTGCGGACTTACGACGTCAACATTAATCTTCAGATGCCCTTTTCAGAAAATTTGTTTAGGGTAAGTGAAAGGGAGTTCACTTTGACTTCAAGCAACTATTCTAACTCTCCGGAGATCAGGTTGCATACCCAACGGAATGAAGGAACTCTAATATCGCGGTGGTCCGTAGCGAAGTTTTCCATTGAACAATGACCACTTTACCATGAAACAGGGTAAGTATGAAGGGCGATCAAAAAATGAAAATTTAGAGAGTGAAAGGGGCTGCAGTAATGACAAGAAAGAACAAAATGCAGGTTTTATACTTTCATAATTTGATTTATTTTTCCTCGTATTCGGAAGGATCTGCTAGGAGTCCTCAAGCAAAACATTCAATCAATCGTGAAAGATTTCACTCACAATGCAAAAGGTTATTTCAGCCAAATCAGAGAACACGTAAACTATTTCATACTGCTGTTAAAGGACCACGTTCAAACCCACTCAGCACTAAATGAAACGGAGGCCTACAATCAAATCTCAGAACAGGCTGAAGCGGTAAGTTTTACGATTCACTGTAGTTCCGTCTTGTAGTACCCCCCCCCCCCCCCCCCNCTTTTGTAACGTAGGTCTATAACCTTTATTTTATAAAAATACAATAGCGTAACTCTCTGCAGGACCCCTAGGACCCCCCTCCCCGACCCCCCCCCCTTTAGAGCGTTACGTATTTTATGAATGGCCCCATTGGAGACTCCAAGTTAATATCCAAGATTGCACGTTTCTATTCTATTGATGGCAAAGTTAAGGATATTGGAATACATATATTCAAAATTTTCCAAAAACATGTTTTGTTCTCCTGGAATGATCAAAATGCGTGACAGATTTGTGCAACAATACTTTTGAAATGGGGCCTTTAAATGAAGAAATCAGTATCAAAGGGGCTAAATTGCATTACAGATGCAAAGTTTTACTTACCATTTATTTATTGATTTATCCATTTATTTACTGGAAAACGGTTGCAAAAGTTTCTCTGCAATTTTTGGATTTTATTTCTTTCGTGATTTGACTATATTACTGGTTGTAAAACTTTAATCGAATAAGAAATCGAGAAATAAGTTGTTCGGTAAAATTTTGCAACGTTGCTGTGCAATTAAGCCCTTGTGGCAATAACTCTGCCAAATAATCGAGTACTTCCAACTGTATGCAAATGCTTCATGCGTATCATAATTTTTCTTCTGATTCTTTTCGCATTGTATTTTGTTTATTTTGAAATACTTTACAGTTTTGGAAATTTGTAAATCTCTTTTTTTCGATACTTCCGATTTTTCTTACTTTAAGTCGACATTCTGTCAAGTATTTCTAGTTTCAATAAGTAGTCGCACTCTCAGCAGAGCAATAGAACACCTGTTGGTTACAGGACAAACGGTTTCAGGACATGTTGTCAACGATTTTTTGTCCGCGCACCTTTTTTGTCCAGTAGTTTACGCCGATACGTAAAATAAGCAACGGTAACTTGGTTCAAGCGTTATATTTTAGTCGGTATGTAAAATTATTTGAAAATATGGAAATGAGAAATTGAGAGAGAAGGAGGTATTGTTATGGTTGCTCATTTTCTGAATGAAATGTTATTACTTTCTCCTTTTGAATCATCTTTTTAAATTGTCATTGGTGAAAATTTGGTTTTATTTCTATCCTTAAAATATTCGATGTACAATATACCTTATATGTGTGTAGGTACTTTTTTTTATTTTTTTCAATATTTTCTTTACGAAATTATTACTTCATTATGAAAACATTTAAATTTTTAAAACGTGACAAATATTTGTAAAACCTTTACCAAGCGATATTAATCTCAATAAGCCGCAGCTGTGCAGACAGAAACTGCAAAAATAAATAAAAGAGGAAGAAAAACCAAGAAGCACGCAATCTTTAGTTTTAACCCATCTGTACATCGATCTTTTAGAGTCAAATACGTCAAATTTTGAGCGTTTGGTTGCGCGCACACCTCGCTGTAGCACTGTGAAAGTACAAAATGTAAAAGATAAAATTAAAGTGCCTTGGAAATCATTAAATTTGACACGGAACCACCAATATTTAAAAAACACACATTACATTGTTATTCTCCTTTGATAAATTGATACATATTTTTCCCATCAATTTAAATGGGAATAATCAATGCAGAGTGTTCAAACATTTCAAAATCCTGAGTTAAAAAACGCTGACCATGCGAGTATAAATATTAAAACCTAAGAGAGCGGAGCGGCGTGCTGCCAGCGCGAGAGGCTCACTGGCGCCTACAAACCTAAGTGGATACTTCACGCATTACACAATGCTTGAAGTATCCACTTAGGTTTGAAGGCGCCAATGCGCGTTTCGCGCTGACCGCCCGCCCGCCGTGCGGCGGCGCCTGAAGCAACTCTTTCACAACAGATGTGTTGCACAATATTATACGAAATTGAACATACTAAGAATGACAGGCATCCTTTAAAAGTACAGATATTTCCTCGCAAAATAAATCAAGATACTTATCGTGCACTGGAAAAATCTAAGAGCCTTTAGCTGGGGCAAATATAGATGTGTATCCGGTTCAGGTATAACAAGGTGGGAAAATCTTGAAAGATAATTAAGTCCTGCTACACCAAAGAGGTGTAGAGAGTTTTAGTGAATTTTGTCTCATGGAACTGACGCTCCCCCATTTTTACCAAAACTCTCAACTATATATTATTCTCCGTTGGACCAAACAGACAAAACAAACAAAAACAAAAACAAGCAAACCCTCATTCTTCCAAGACATTTTACATTTTCATCCAAAAACGTCGTGAGCAATTGTCGTTTGTATTTACATGTGGGCCAGTTATTAACTTTGGGTCTCAACTGGCACGTGGACCCAAACTCCCGTGCTTAAAAAACGCGTGGACGTAATTATAGGACAAAACAGGTGCGCGGACAAAAAATCGTTGACGCAATGTCCTATAACCGGACAAACTGCTAATACTAGTTTGAGAAAATGAGGTTTCAAATCAAAATTTTAATTTCTATGTTCATTCGATATTCTAACACTGCTGTGGATGTTCCTCTGAATTTCAACTAACAAAATTATGAACAGCTAGGAACTACGGCAATAATTTCAAATTATGTGCTTAGATTTTGGAGCGGTTAAATATTGCGAAGGAAATGATGTACAATGTTATCGACAAGAGAGAAGATACTTTGATTATTTCTGCTTGGGATTGGTACGATGACCTCTTCCAACAGCTCGAACAGTGAGTAACATTTTTATTGTGTTAAAAAAATATATGTATAATTAGGAAATATTAAAAAACGAGATACGTGGTTTGGAAGTTTCACCGTCGATATATCGATGGTTAAAGTGCGAAACCACGTATCTCCGTTTGCGACGTTTCAGACTTCCTGTCTTAATTTATTTGTACTTCGGGAAAACGAGTCAACGCAATTTCTTAAAAATTACCTACCTTGACTTGTCTTCACTTTTAACAGAATATTCTTAAAAATTTCAAGCTGTAGCGTTGAATTGTTTCTTTTCGGATAAATAAAGTAAGAGCGAACATTTTGAAACACTGCGATGGAGATACGTGGCTTTGCACTTCTGCCAGCCATATGTTTATTTTCATCACTCATTTAGAAGTGTGTCGAAATATCCTGAAAGACCATCCAGGGACATCTGGTTTTTGCTTACGAAAATTTTTCTCCTAATTACCATAAACTACTTCGCGATCATTCGATTCTTTGCCTTCATTATGAAAGGGTCGTTCTTTAAATAATTAAATCAATAACTACTCCAGTGTAATGGGGTTGCATACGCATGTTGTCAAATGCGAAGTTTGCATGCTGTTCTCATACTTAAAACCACACCACAAACCGCCTGTTGTAATACTATTGCACGATCACTTTAAATTTTCTATTCTTACTTCCTTTTTTTTTCACAGGAAAGAATTCGCTCGAAGCAGGAACATGATACTACAAATAAATACCTTCTCCGACTTCCAGCTGGTCGAGCTGTCTGCAGAGCTGTCAAACACGGCTCCCCAAGAACAAACGGAATTTTCATTCTCTGAGCTTCAAATGATCAAGGATCTTTCTCAAATTGTGTGATAAAGCAGTGTCAATAAAATAGTATTTTCTGAACATAGCGGATGATTTTAGTTCACCGAAAAAAAATTGAAGTTAATTTAACAATCTGGATGTAGAAAAATGCTGTGTATAAAATGCTAATTACCCGCCACAGCAGTTAGTTTTGCATCCTGGCATTGCTAAAGTAACTACTACAGCGGTAATTCAGCATTTTAGAAGTTCTCGCACACGTTTTTTACATCCAGAATGTTAAATCAACTTCACTTTTTTTTCGGTGTTGTTCTATTTTCATATTTTACCGATCGCAGAGCCTACACAGAAACAATGAAACCTTGAAAAATAAGAAATCGTCCGAGACTTGAAATATAGTTAAGTAGATGCGTAAAAACTTTTCATGAACTCCTCAAGCTCCATGCATGGAACTAGGCAATAGTACGCTTATGTGTACCCACTCTCAGCTATTAGTAGGAATTCCATTTTTAAGTGAGATTGACGTGAGCCTTTGACCCTTTTATGCGACATTGTCAGATGAAGAAAAGGTCAGGCTCATAAGCTAGATACAGCTTCCAGGATACTTCCCTCGGGCTCTCAAAATAATTAAGTCGTTGAGTGTAGAAAGAGCATTTCTTGGTTGCGGTGTTTCAAAATCTTCACTGCTAAGTTAATACTTCACAGCGGAAACTGTTCGGTGAATTTTCTGAAATTTTTCGTTTTCAGCATTGCAAAATCATGAAGATAAATCTGTAAAAGTTTTAACGAATTCTATACAATTTTCTTTGATTGTAATGGATGAAACATGAGCGGAGATTCTTAGACACTGCAACCAAGAAATGCCCTTTCTGCACCCAGCGCTTCGATTTCTCTCTGAGGATGCTTTAAGTCATATTCGAGTCGAACATCGCAAAAAAATTCTCTACCTCCAATAAACTTCAAGGTACATGGGCTGTCATCTTTTCGTTTTTTAGAGTTAATGGAGTATCATTTTTTCTCCATTTTCTTGGGGCTCTTTTAGTTTTCATTTTTCTCCTTCTTCTTTTTCGCGAGTTCACAAATTAACGAATGTACTGGGACTGTCCTAAATTTCTTTTCCGTATGGATTCGCAATGATTTTCAAGTGCCGATGATCCCAGTACCCCGCAAAACGTTTAGAAACAGGAAAATCCTAATTTTTAAAATTTGAAAAATAACCTCATAAGTTGAATTTCAAATTTTCTCATCGAAGTCTCGGATAATTGTTGCGGATTGTGTTAGCATTCCCTGAACAATCTTTGAAATTTCATAGAAAATGAAATTTTACGTTTCAAAAAAGGTTCTATTTGCATCTCTGGGCTTTGTCAACACTTGGAAAGGCCGATATCGCCGATGGAGAATATAAATTTGGCAACCCTGCCTAAGCGAAATCGAGGGCGCAAAGTTTGAAAGTGCAAATATGGGTAACTAGTGGCCAGAGCTGGGACGAGGGCAAGATCACGGATTCACGGGGACACTTCCTGCCCGGGCCGCCGATGACGCGGCAGGGGACAATTTGCCGCTCCTCGGACGCAAGCCCGTATCTCCGTCACCACATGAGCCCCGGGAAGCATTAATTTATACGGACGACACGGCTCACGTGGAGATGGACTTACGCCCTTACGTCAGAGGAACGACGAATTGATTCAATGCTCGTCATTATATCATCGTCATCGTCGCCATGGATGAAGGGGGGGGGGATAAAGGCAGAGGCCACGGGCGGAGGGTAAATTAGCGTGGCCTCTCTTAGCCGCTGCCCGCCACCCAGGTCGACTGGCCAAATCCCTGACGAAATTAATGCCGGATTCGGGGGCCGAACCCTCTTTATTCCCCGCTTCCGCCTACTCAATAACGCGTTGACCCGTTGAAGACGTTCGCTCACGCGGCGCAGGCGTGTAAGCATTTGCTGGATCTTGCGCTTGTCCTAATTCCTACGGCCATAAAGCTCATTTGCAATCCGTGATCCTTCAAAAAAGTCAAGTGTTACAGGAAATCTACAATGACGCTGTGGACCAAAGCCCGTCGAGCCAATAGGACCGCCCCTAAATTACGTTATGCTAAATTGCGATTTTTTGACATTCCCCCACCAAGTGTTGGGCTCCGTCACGCTATGCTAGACCCCGCTAAAAATTACGTAACGCTTGCCCGGGCCCTCTTTATTTCGATAAAAAATAATCTACGCATCACCTTACATCATTTTACTGAACGGATTGGCGTTTCTGTGTAGTGAAGAGTAAGTATGGCAGAGAATATTTCTGAGATTATTTAAAACTTCTAAAGACGACCGTTGAAACATTCTGCAGAAACTCAAGAAGAAAAATTACTTAAACTCGTTGCTTAATGCTTCGCTCTATACCCCCCCCCCCCCCCCCCCNGCGATTCGGCAGTTTTACTATCGATAAATAAAGCAGAGTGGATTATACGGAATTTTTCATACAGTTTAGAAGTACTTTTAGGAATGTTCTTACCCCTAAAAATGGTCCACTAGAATATTCCTTAAAACTAAGAGGGGCTTAGGTAAACGCAACCTTGGAGGGTTCGGGTTGTATATTTCTCCTTTTTTGATCAAAAATACATTTTTATACATCAAACGACAGATAAACTGGTTCCTTGGGATGGAGAGACGACTCTGTTTGGAACTCGCACAACCTTTGGCTACGCAAATGACAGCGTTAATCGACTCAGGCAATGTTGTCCGGGTTAATACCAATGCGCAATTTTCATTCACTGCCTCAAAAAAGAGATTTGGGGGTTAAGTCAATGGTAAAATATTACAGTCTCTTCTCATTCAACAGAATGCTGATAGTTCGCTTTCAATGACCTCCGTACTAACGCATCGATGAACAAAGTGCAAAAGCACGAATCTCAATTTGCGACGTTACGAGCTTTACGTGGCCCTTTACTTTGGTCATTAATATGTGTAGGTAAAGTTCCTATTAACAGTAGGAGTCTTAAATTGTTATGTCTTGATAGCTTTTGCCACTTTTGCACCCTTTCCATGTCATTTTTGTTTTTGTTTTTAATTATTTATTTATCTATTTGTTATCCTAAACCTTCACTTCACTTTCTCTCAATTTGCTTACCAATTTTTGTTTTATCTGTTTAAAGTGGTTTTATTGTAATACTAATTGATACATGTTAAGTTCAAATTTTTAAAGACCCGTAAGGTCTGAAAATTAGTTGGAATTTACTATTCTTTGGTTACAAAAAAAAAAAAAAAAAAAAAAAAAAAAAAAAAAAAAATGTGTAGGAAGAAAAACAATGATATGGTTTTGATTTGCAAAGAGGTGTACCGGAAGTAGCGCAGGAAATCGAATCGAACAGTCGTGGCAAAAATGAAGCCTGGGATGCAACTATTCGTGCCTCAAGGATATCCGTGTTGCATACACAAGCAACTGAAGGCGTTTTAACTTCCCTTGCCCAAGCGACGCTTGGCAAGCGTAGTAAGCTGCAAGGGTGCGATTAGGGGTCATTTTCGGATCCTGCAGTGCATGAGGCCACACCACCGCTTGTTCTCTTCGTTGGATCTGGATAAAGAACGACTATGGGTCGTATTCATCGTCGTTTCTAAAGGAGCGCCTTTCCTTGGGACGATCCACATGGTTTACAATGTGATTAATGACGGTGTGGGGAGATTCTTAACTTACCATCATGAAACGGACATTTTTTGCGAACCTGGAGTAAAATTCAGTAATGAACATCTGGAAATGGAACCTGGAAGGAGATTACAATGATTTGCTATCGCAAAAAGTACAAAATACAAAATTAAAACTATTTGATTTGAACAAAAATTACCTTAAAGTACACGAGTATTGTACTTTTTGCGATTAAAAATTACTGTAACCCCTCTCAAGGATTCGTTTTCAGATATTCCCTACTGAATTTTACTCCAGGCTTGCAAAAAATGTCCCATTTCATTATCCATTGGTGGTACACGGACTTTATGCCCACTTTTTTTACGTCCACAGACTTTTCGTCCACCATTTTTACGTCCACAGTTCTAAAGCCCACACTATTGTTAAGTGCAACGTCCACTAAGTTAAGTCCACAGATGTGAAGTCCACTAAAATCAAATTCAAGCGTCATATTTTAGTCCGTGTGTAAAATTATATTGATAATATCGAAATGAGAAAATTAAGAGAGAATGAGGTGTTGTTATCGTAACTCATATTTTAAACGAAACGTTAATTTCTTCTTTTGATTCATCTTTTCAAATTGTCTTTGGTAAATACTTGGTTTCATTTCGATCCTTGAAATTTCCTATATAAAATATGCCTTAAATGTACATTCTTTTTTTTTAATGAAATTCATTACTTCATTTTAAAAACATTTACATTTTTAAAACGTGGTAAATATTTGTAAAACCTTTTCCAAGCAATGGTATCGATATGAATCTCAATGAGCCGTAGTTGTGCTGAAAGAAACTACCCAAAAATTAATAAAAGAGGAAAAAAACTAAGAAGCACGCAATTTTTTGCTTTGAACTTATTTGTACATCGACCTCATTGAGTCAGATACGTCCAATTTTGAGCGTTTGGTTGCGCTTACACCACGCTGCAGCACAGTAAAAGCCCAAAACATAAAATAATAAATTTGAATGCTTTGCAAATCATTAAATTTGACACGTAACCACTACTATATTCACAAAAAACACATTATATTTTCCATTAGTACATATTTCTTTTTCATCAGTTTAAAAGGGAATAATCAATGCAGAGAGTGCAAACATTTCAAAATCATGAGTTGAAAAACGCTGACTCCGCGAGTTTAAATATTAGAGCCTAACACAGAGCGGAGCGGCGTGTTAGCAGCGCAGAGCGCGCACTGGCGCCTACAAACCTAACGGGATACTTCACGCATTGCGCAACGCATGAAGTATCCCGTTAGGTTTGTAGGCGCCTATGCGCGTGTCACGCTGGTTCCTTGCTGCGCCGCAACTCTTTAAGCAACTATTTCGCGTCAGATGCGTTGCACAGTATCCTACAAGATTGAAGGCGCATGAAATAACTAGTTAAAGAGAACTTTCAATTTTGACTGCATTTGATACTGAAAAATGTTTAATTTGGCATCGGAGCGTTTTCTAGGCTCCCGCTTTGGTTTTCATCTTATCATATCCGTACAGTGTACACATGAACATACTCGTATGTTTTTATCTGCTCTTGGAGTCTGTTCTCTTTCATGACTTGATTCATGAATGAAATGTTTTTAAGAATGAAGGTAGTAGTGGTATGCATTTATTTTTAAGGTGGTTCCTGTCATTTAAATGAGAAAAAAAAATGTGGACATAACATGTCCACAATTTGGACAATTTTGGACATATTCATGGTTGGACATTAAATCATGTGGACTTAATNGGGCCCTCTTTATTTCGATAAAAAATAATCTACGTATCACCTTACATCATTTTACTGAACGGATTGGCGTTTCTGTGTAGTGAAGAGTAAGTATGGCAGAGAATATTTCTGAGATTATTTAAAACTTCTAAAGACGACCGTTGAAAAATTCTGCAGAAACTCAAGAAGAAAAATTACTTAAACTCGTTGCTTAATGCTTCGCTCTATACCCCCCCCCCTCCTTTGGAGCGTTACGTAATTTAGGAACGGGTCCACATTGAGATTCGCGATTCGGCAGTTTTACTATCGATAAATAAAGCAGAGTGGATTATACGGAATTTTTCATACAGTTTAGAAGGACTTTTAGGAATGTTCTTACCCCTAAAAATGGTCCACTAGAATATTCCTTAAAACTAAGAGGGGCTTAGGTAAACGCAACCTTGGAGGGTTCGGGTTGTATATTTCTCCTTTTTTGATCAAAAATACATTTTTACACATCAAACGACAGATAAACTGGTTCCTTCGGATGGAAAGACAACTCTGTTTGGAACTCGCACAACCTTTGGCTACGCAAATGACAGCGTTAATCGACTCAGGCAATGTTGTCCGGGTTAATACCAATGAGCAATTTTCATTCACTGCCTCAAAAAAGAGATTTGGGGGTTAAGTCAATGGTAAAATATTACAGTCTCTTCTCATTCAACAGAATGCTGATAGTTCGCTTTCAATGACCTCCGTACTAACGCATCGATGAACAAAGTGCAAAAGCACGAATCCCAATTTGCGACGTTACGAGCTTCATGTCAAAATCGTCATACTTTGTAATTTTTTTTGGAAAACTAGTCACCGTAATTTCTTGAAAACGGCCCTAATTTTTCATCTCTGCTAGCAGGATATTCTATGTAAATTTCAAGCTATGTTGGCTTCTTTCTCTTCTAAAACGCGGACATTTTTAAACTACGCAATGCAGATACGTGGCCCTTTACTTTGGTCATTAATATGTGTAGGAAGAAAAAAAATAATATGGTTTTGATTTGCAAAGAGGCGTACCGGAAGTAGCCCAGGAAATCGAATCGAACCGCCGTAGCAAAAATGAAGCTTGGGATGCAACTATTCGTGCCCCAAGGATATCCGCGTTGCATACACAAGCAACTGAAGGCGTTTTAACTTCCCTTGCCCAAGAATCGTAAGCGGCAAGGGTGCGATTAGGAATCATTTTCGGATCCTGCAATGTATGAGGCCACACCACCGCTCGTTCTCTTCGTTGGATCTGGATAAAGAACGACTATGGGTCGTATTCATTTTGAAAACGTGATAAATATTTGTAAAACCTTTTCCAAGCAATGGCATCGATATGAATCTCAATGAGGCGTAGTTGTGCTGAAAGAAACTATCCAAAAATTAATAAAAGAGGAAAAAAACTAAGAAGCACGCAATTTTTTGTTTTGAACTTATTTGTACATCGACCTCCTTGAGTCAGATACGTCTAATTTTGAACGTTTGGTTGCGTTTACACCACGCTGCAGCACAGTAAAAGCCCAAAACATAAAATAATACATTTGAATGCTTTGAAAATCATTAAATTTGACACGTAACCACTACTATATTTACAAAAAACGCATTATATTTTCCAGTAGTACATATTTCTTTTTCATCAGTTTAAAAGGGAATAATCAATGCAGAGAGTGCAAACATTTCAAAATCATGAGTTGAAAAACGCTGACTCCGCGACTTTAAATATTAGAGCCTAACACAGAGCGGAGCGGCGTGTTAGCAGCGCAGAACGGGCACTGGCGCCTACAAACCTAACGGGATACTTCACGCATTGCGCAACGCGTGAAGTATCCCGTTAGGTTTGTAGGCGCCTATGCGCGTGTCACGCTGGTTCCTTGCTGCGCCGCAACTCTTTAAGCAACTATTTCGCGTCAGATGCATTGCACAGTATCCTACAAGATTGAAGGCGCATGAAATAACTAGTTAAAGAGAACTTTCAGTTTTGACTGCATTTGATACTGAAAAATGTTTAATTTGGCATTGGAGAGTTTCCTAGGCTCCCGCTTTGGTTTTCATCTTATCATATCCGTACAGTGTACACATGAACATATGTTTTTATCTGCTCTTAGAGTCTGTTCTCTTTCATGACTTGATTCATAATAAATGAAATGTTTTTAACAATGAAGGTAGTAGTAGTATGCATTTATTTTTGAGGCGGTTCCTGTCATTTAAATGAGAAGAAAAAAATGTGGACATAACATGTCCACATAGGGTAGGCATATTCATGGTTGGACATTAAATCATGCGGACTTAATAAAGACTGGACTTAACGTTCAGTGGACATAAATAGCGGTGGACATTTATTTAATGGACGAAAGGTAGGTGGACATAAAGTCCTGGAAGCCCATTGGTAACTTATCAAAGTACTCATAGTCTAGTTTCAAGCCTTTGTTTTTTTTATCAATTACGTATGCTTCCCCTCCCCTTCTTGCATATAACATTCACCAACCCTTTACAATGATATTATGATGCCTTTCCTCCACAAATTTCACAACAAGCCCTCCATAATCATCATGTAAATCATATGGGAACGAAACGGCTTTGTTTGAGGAATGCCTAGGGCCTTGTCTCCACGAGCCGTTTCACGAGATTTGTCCCAGGTAAAAATCCCACTTATGAAATTGGGAAAAATATTGAGTTAATCAATATTTTTCCCAGTACCAAGTATGGTACTTGTACCCCTAGGACCCACTGAGAGAAGAAGAAGAAGTGAAAACGAATTGTGCAATATTTTATTCATTACTACATTGTTAATGTTTGTTTAGTTAAAGTAATGTGTCTAATTGTCAATTGAGTGCAATTATTATTTTAATCCCGGTTAAATACTCGACTTTAACCAACTTATCTTCCCGCGAAAACTAGTCGCAGGACTGTATGAGCCCCGTCCCGTGGAGACGGTAACTGGGAAAAATCCCAGAAGTTTCATTCCTGCGATTCGAACTTGGGACAAATCCCATGAAAACGTCCCGTGGAGACAAGGCCTATGAGTATGAGCCTAAAATTTGGAATTAATTTTTCTTGGTTCCAACTTGACGGGGGCTGGTTCCGTGCCTCCGAACTGATTTCAATTGACGGCGCCACTGTGTGACGGGGACAGCGCGGGCCGAGATCCGGCGGGAGTCGGGCTCCGGACTCCGGGTCAGTGTGTGCGAGGAAGATGGACGAGGAGGCTGCCGCTCCGGTCGGGCCTCGAACCGTGGACCCCGAACCCAAAACCCAGTCCTCCACCCACCGCGAGCGGGAACAGTGGTCCAAACAGATCGAGTTCGTTTTGTCTGGCATCGGATTCGCAGTTGGATTAGGCAACATTTGGAGGTTTCCTTACCTCTGTTATAAAAATGGAGGAGGTGAGTGGTGATCAAAGACATGAAGACGGAGTGCTCGTATCTAAAAGCACGGGGAAAAAGTGAAGCTAGGTTCGGCGCTGCGCGCTTGTGTGAGTGTGTAAATGAGCGCGGGAATCCATGGCGGCAAACGGAAATTTGATTTGAACTTGTCCTCTTGATTTTTCCACATTTCTTCTTCGAAACGTATTTTAAATGCCTAAAACGAATAAATTAAGAAAGTTGGGAATGCGTCCTATTATAATACACCTACTTTTGCTCGGTAACAGGCAGTAATCTCAGATAAAGTTAGTTTTTCTTCTGCTCATGGTGGTTCTGCCGGTTCAAACAGGCCGTTACAGTTCTAGATGACCGTTACTCCCAAATGCATTAATCGGTCGACGACGGACCAAAGCTAACCTAAAGTTAAAAAAATATGAGTGGGTAAGTGAATTTGGGCAAAAATCAACCTAAAATACTTTGTTTCCGCAATTTTATTTAGTTCCCGCGCCCGCCCTACATTTGAATTTCAAACTTGTCCCGATTTCGCCGCCAATCCTCTAGCCAATCGTAGAGGTGGTTGAAAAGAAGCTTCATTTTTTGCTTTTAGCCCTCCGTCCTTATGTCTTTGGTGGTGATGGACCAGAAGACGAGGTACGAGTCGAAGGCATTCTCATACATCGATGGCTAAAAGACAGAACCACGTATCTTCATCGCTGTGTTTAAAAGCACCCCAGTGTTATTTTCTTTCAGAGAAACACGCCAATTTTATCAATGGCGGGGCGTGAATAATCGAGTGTCGATGTTTCCCCATTTGAAACTATATATAAACATATCTAAATAAAATTAAATTGACAGTGGATTGTGGATTACAGAGCAGATTCCTCTGGTTAGGTTAAACTACCCCTAAATTTTTTTAAGTTTGAAGATTTCCTTTTACTATTTTAATTATAATTATTAATCTCATAATAGGGTATCTAATCCTAGTTTTTAATATAGATTGTAAAAAAAGGTGTTCGTTGCGAAAATCCTATTTATCGCTCCTTTTCCTTAGATTTAAATAGTAGATCAATCGATACACCGCAAAGCACGCCACCTTTATAGCTTGAAATTTAAACAGAATATCGACAGTGAAACTGCAAAAATGCGTTTCTCGGTTGCGGCGCTTCGAAATCCCCGCTCCTATTTTATTTCTTAAAAAGTGACCGAACCAACATCATAATTTGAAGTTTTCATAGAATATTCTGCATAAATAGAGAGAAATCACTGAAGTATAAAAAAAATGACGAAAATAGTTTTCCATTTAGAATATAAAGTATGACGTGAAGTCTGCAACGTCGCAAATCGAGATACGCATTTTTGCAGGTTCACCATCGTTATTCTGCCAACATGAGTGCAAAAACCTAGGAAGTTTTCAAGAAATTTATTCACTAGTTTTCCGCGGAAAAATAAAATGAAGTATGACAGGAAGTTTGCGACGTTAGAAACGGAGATACGTAGTTTCACACTTTAGCCATCGTCATATGTTCCTTGACCAAAATTTAACGTGAAACACGATTCGCGCAACAAAAATTACTGAAACCAACGGTATTAATGTCTTAATTTTACATTGGTCATGGGGATTTTAAATTGCTCGCTGCTCGGTCACAAGAAAAACAATACTCTACGTGAATCAAATCGCTCACTACAACGGTTCTGGCAGCCTTCTAAATAGGCAGCGTTCCTTCCCACCGTGTGTATTTCAAAATGTATACAACGTGCAACAGCTAAGCCGAAACGCTGAGTTTGTGCCATATTTTCATATCGCAGAGACTGTCAAGGTAATATTTAGTGTGCGATTAACTCAATTTGATTATTGTTTTTTCTATGGGCGGAAAGTTTGGACGTCAATATTTTAGTTAAGAGCTAATTTCAGTAATTTTCAGTGCGCGAACTGTAGTCTACATGAAATTTTGACTGAGAAACACGTATCAGAATGCTTTAATCCATACCTTGTCGACTGGTCTATTTTGGTTGTCTTAGACCATACTTAACAGTTGAAAATTGAAGGGTGGAAATTACCTTTAAGGCAATTAAAAGAGTTATTTAGCTGTTTTTCTCATTTGAGCAGAATGAATGACCCTAAAATTTACCATGCTTGCCTTCAAATTGAGAGGAATCCAGAGAAAATTATTGTTGATGGTATTATTCATCAATATTAATAGAACATGTTATTTACCAAAGTTGAGTAAGCTCTAACTTGTGATTAATTTTTTTTTTTTTTTTGTGGTTTTCCCTTGAAAGTGCGTGATGGCTCCAAAAAATGTCTTAAATGTAAAGTGTGAATAGCATCATAACATAGGTATACGTGTCAGTGAACTCTCATAATTTTCGTTTCGTCATTCTTTAATAAAGCGTGCCAACATTTCATTGAGACTAGTCGAGCTGAAAAATTGCTGTTTTTCCAACAAGGAGATAAGTCTATTTAAGAATTAATGGAACACGGGTAGTAAAATTTGTGTGGTTAAAATTCGTAATTCACCCCTTGTTTTTTTTTAAAGAAAAACGACCGTTTAAACACTTCATTTTATTTCTATTTTTTTAGGTGCTTTTCTAATCCCGTACTTCATTTGTATGATTACCGGTGGCATCCCAATCTTCTTCCTTGAGATTGGATTGGGCCAGTTTATGAGTGAAGGTGGCATAACAGCCTGGAATATTTGCCCTCTCTTCAGAGGTGAGTCTTTCAAAAGCTTTAAAAAAAGTCTCTTTCTACTCTAAGGATATAAAAAAAGTTTTTTCAACGCAATCTTAATAACAATCACAAACATGAAAATCACCGAACACATGCCATAACTGAATTTTATCCCACACTTAGGTAACACTAACCACAAGTAATATTTTGTGTGGTGCTAGGTCATTTTTCCTAATTTTTTTTTCCTACATCAGGTTTTCCTAATACTTTTTTCCTACTCGTTTTTTGTCCCATTACAGTAAGTCCTACGAGTGAGATGTCCCACTGGCTTTTTTCCTAAGGATGTTTGTCCTAATAATCCAATAATAATTGAAACGTAAACATGAGTAGAGTAGAGGGAAATGTTGCAGAAAGAGTAAAGTTTTCTCAGCGAGCCGAATATAAATAAGGAGGAGGATGAAGCTCCACTACTTATACGGGTATGCGGCCACAACTCTAACTTGTAAGGTACCTATGTTGTTTTTTTACTTTCTCGCTCCCCCAGTTTTAAAATTGAATTTAGGACAAATGCCCCTAGGAAAAAAGCCGGTAGGATATCTCACTCGTAGGACTAATTGTGATGGGACAAAATACGAGTAGGAAAAAAGTATTAGGAAAAATTGCAGTAGGAAAAAATGTTTTAGGAAAAATGACTTGCCACCTTTTGTGTGTATGATCGCTTCTTTATCAGCTATATGGACGCATTTAAATCAAAAGGAACGGTACCCGTTGTGACATGAGCCCTGCCATGCACGCAAACTTATAGATCTCAGGGCTCTTGATAGAATGGATATAGTTCTCTTCATTTAGAATAGTCCATACGATCGCTTGATTAGAGACTTTCCTCGATTGGATTCGATTTTATAAGAATTATCAGAATCGTGCGCAAAAATGTCGAGCAGTATCTCCCTGAAAAAATGAAGAACGAGTGGAGATTTTCAAACCGAAAATTTTACCGTGTATATGAGATCCATGATTTGGTATTTTCGCTACTGCTGCAGAAATTGAGCACCGGCGCGGCCCGCAGCAGCGCAATGTGTGCACTTCGATGCGAGCAAGAAAAACCAGGGCGCCTTCAATTTCTTTTCATGCAACACGCGCATCCATGGAGCACGAATAGTTGTATCCAGACGCCTTGTTCTTTCGCGCATACATCGGTTGCAATATAGAGAGAAACGGAGAGCAATTTATTATTAATGTATTTTGGAAGTGTGTGCCTTTTGGTGTTTATAAATCTTCAATCGCATTCAATTTCTAAAAACAAAAACTTGACAATGTTTATGCTATAGCTCTGATTACTATTCAAATGTCTACCCATTAGGGAGAAATTGAGCGAACTCCCGCCAATTGAACATCTCAATTTCGGAAATAATACAAAGCATTTTTAAAACAATGCTTTTTTTAAAAAAATACATAACATTGAGGAGGAAAAACAAGAATGAAATATGGTCTCTATGACTAATCGCCCCGAGTATACTGTCAAAAATTGTGGGGTGAAATTTTGTGCCGGTGTTTATGAGTCTAACTTAAAATCCGCGAGTGATCGGAATTTATTCTGCCTAGCTAAGGAGAAATGCTGTATGAAAATTCGAGAGGTGCAAAATTTTCACCGATAAAATGTTTATTTTTGAGGAGAATGATGAAATATTTTCTTTCAAAATTTTCTTATATTTTAAATCCGTTCGCAAATAAAATTCTCCAAAAATTCGAAGAAAAATATTCACAGAATTTCATGAAAACTCATATTTTATCAAAGGAAACTTTGCAGCGGCTGAAGACTCATACAGAGTTTTTCCTCAGAAAGGCTGTATTCTCCGTACGGGTTGACTTACACTTTTACGGAGCGGAATCTACTCTTTTTTCAAACAATTTTATGGTGCTCATTTCACTTCACGTGAATACCTCTTGCGGATTTTAGGCGCTAGACAGACCTCGGTACCGAATTTCACCCCTCGATTTTTGAAAGTGCATGCAACCTCCCTTCCCCCCTCTCCATTATTTCTTACCATTTTCAATACAGTAGCGAGGCGCGCTTTGCGACGTATCGATTGATCTGCCATTTAAACCTATGGAAAAGGATAGATAATCAGGGTGTTCACAACGAACACCTTAATAACCGGTTCTTTACCATGGCTTCAAATGGGGAAATATCGATAATCGATCATTCACGCCTCACTACTGTTTGAAACGCGTCGAGTTTCGAAATCGGAGGTTTTCAGTTGCGTTTGGAAGAGGAAACCAAAGTTTTCTAATGTTGGGAATGATCCAGGCTGATTTTGAATCGAACAGGGATCGGCTACGGGACGACAATAATCTGCTTCCTGCTCAACATCTACTACATCGTGATCTTGGCGTGGGCGGCCCATTTTTTCTACAACTCGTTCACTCTCACGCTCCCGTGGTCGTCCTGCGACAATTGGTGGAACACGCGCCATTGCTTTCTCGCCGGTGTCCACAACAAATCCTCTCGGACTAGCGCCTCAGTCGATGCTGTCACCGAATACTGGGAGTAAGCTTCACCTCTTGTATTAATATTAGAATGGAGAGGTATTGATAAGGGCCATTTTCGGGCCCACCCTAGCTGAAATTCCTCAATTGGACGTATTTCTGCCGAGCGGAACTATGTGCATTAAGACATGAACCCTGAGACCCACAAGGATATTTGCGTAACAGGGCTCACGTCGTAATGCGGATCGTTCCGTTTCATAGAAACATGTTCAATTCTACGATTTCCAGCTCATTGGGGATCTAAATTTTACGGAATGCATCATGAATTGGCCAAAATGGCATGGAAACGTAACTTCATTCCAAAATTGCAAAATTGACTCAAACAATTCAATATTCTACAAGAATGTTCCTATTTAGTTTTTATCCATAATTTTCCAGATTTTTCAAGAAATTTGTTCCTGGGCCGATTTTCTGAAACTGATCTACTTTCTTCATTTCCAGGAGGAGAGTACTAGGCCTCAGCACCGGCATTGATGACGTAGGCGGAATACAATGGGAATTAGCCCTATCCTTATTTGTAGTATGGATAGCCATTTATTTCTGCGTTTGGAAAGGGATTCAGACCTCCGGCAAAGTCGTTTACTTTACTGGTGTGTTCTCTTTTCAACTGCTAAAATTAATACTAAAACAGATACAAATATATTGCATAGGCGATGCATATAAAATTTGGTTAAATGATAAAATAACATATTTGGACGTATACTTCTGCCAAACCAAACTATGTGCATTATGACATGAGCGCACTGAGACCCGTAAAAATATGTGCATAACAGGGCTCACGTCATAATACACATAGTTCCGTTTGGCAGAAATAGTCCATTTGGCATAGCATTTCGTCCATAGACATAAATTCCACAGTCGGGGGCCTCGGTGGGCTGAGGAATTTCATCGATTGATATACATTCCACACTCAGGGGCTCCAAAGACTGGGCCCTGGCAAAGGGGTTGTTGCTGTAGTAGCGGAATTATGCAACGATTTTAAACCACTTCTCCACTATCTACCATGGGCAAACTAGACCAAAGCTGAGTAAGAAGTTAAGAACTCATCTTTATCTTTAGACAGACCGCACAATCGCCTTCAACTTTGTGGATAGGCAACCCCGAGACGGCGGTGTTCGAATAGTTATCGCTCAGACTATCCGGAAGCTGTTTGAAGGAGTCACGTTAAACATAGAGTTGGGATATTAAGTGCCCAAAGTGGGTTTAGTTTATTTAGTTCGTTTATCCTGACACAATTGATCTATGAAAGTAGAAAATCACGTTCCTTGAATAGGAAAGGTCAAAATAAATACTCTCGCCTTATCCTCCGAGTTGAAAACAAACTGTAATCATGCATGCAATTTTTTAAGTATATTTTCACATACCTTTCAAAAAGTCCTACGTGTTTTTACAACTAAAGACCGATTTTGTTAGATTAAAATAAACCGTGTCAAGGTTGTTGCAACGTCACAAGCTGACGTGATTTTTCTTCTAGTTTTACTGACGTAAATCGCTTAAGGTTGTCAACAGTACGAAGCTCAGTTTCGGAAAAACGTACAGTCGCCTTCAAATTTGTGAACAGACGGCTATGTGTTCGAATAGTTGGACCACATTTTGCAATGAGGAATCCCTATTTTTGGCTCATTCCAAAAATAACGTATGTGCCATTAGTTTCACTATGTAGATAGGTGCTTTTACAGTTGGGCGAGAAATAGTGGCTCCCAATTGTAACATGTAGTCCAGTTATCACTCAGTCTCAGATGGTGAATTTAGTTTTCACGTAAAAAAATACCTAAGATACAGCTACATTAAGATACAGCTGATAATGTACCTAGTCTCAACAAAATCACTTGTATCGGAAGTATACTTTTTTTACTACTTATTCATTTATCCCGAATTCCCAATTGCATGCTGAATGTTTTAAGCGAACTCAGGGTATATTAAAGTTTAGTGGATTCAGACCTATTTTTATTTTTTTACATTTCAGCTATTTTTCCATATATCATGCTCACAGCATTACTTATAAGAGGAGTGACATTAGACGGTGCTCTGGAAGGTATCGAATTTTACTTAAAACCCGACTTTTCTAAGCTAACTCACGCCCAGGTAGCAATATTTTCATACCATTCTTACACATTAATTTGTCTTAATAATCTAAATATGGAGATGAATGTTATTTTTTCAGCATTGTAGATCAAAACTACAGTTCAAAAAAACAGTTTCAGCGTTTCTCATTAAAATAAACTAAAATTTCATGGGGAATACGAATTTATGCCTCTCCCTAGTCATGCCAATGCACAGACGAATCTTCCACTGGATTTGTAGAAAACTCGTGTATTCCTTTATCATTACTAACAGATCCCCTATGAATTTTTTCTCTGCATGGAGTATTCTAAAAGAAACTATCATGAAGGTAAAAAAATTTCGTAGTCTAAAACCCTCGAATGAACTTTTCAAGGCAAATGATCAAATATTCTTATTTATATTGAAATTCTGATTCTTTTGCTGATTTTAAGCAAGAAAATTCATTGCTTATATAAGAAAGAATCCTCCTCAAAAAATGTGCTTTATGGGTGGTATTTTACAAAGGTATTAGTTCCTGAACGTAAATAATTTATGATTAAATTTGAAGCATGCCATAAAATGCAGATTTTTTTTTAAAATTTTAACACTTAAATGCATGAAGAGCATTTGAAGAAGAAGAAACAAGAGTGGCCATAGATTTGCGTTATTTTTGCCAAAATATTGAAAACTCGTGATCTTTTCGACATAAATTTACAAAATGTCGTAAATTTTCAAAATTTGACTATCTACCGAGGCATATGATAAAATGCCTGATTTGATTAACTGCCTGCGACATCTCGAAGTTTTCACATTTTTCTCTTCAGAACGAAAAGGTTGCAATATGACGGCAATTGCTGCAACATAGATAAATCTGTCATTTATTTTAATACAAACTCAGAACAGAATGAATTGTCTTCTTCTTCCTCCGTTTCAGGTGTGGATTGACGCTGGTACTCAAATTTTCTTCTCCTACGCTATAGCTCTGGGCTGCATGATTGCGTTGGGCTCGTACAATCGATTCCACAATGACTTCATAAAAGACTGCTTGTTCATTGCCGTAACTAACAGCGCAACGAGTTTGTACTCCGGATTTGCTGTGTTCAGCGTCCTCGGATTTATGGCTCAACAGCATGGAGTCCCAATCGCAGAGGTTAAGTCCTAAGATTTGTTTTCGTTAAAGAGGGGCCGGTAAATCTTACCCCAAAATCCAGGTACTTTCATCAAAACCACGTGGATAATAATCGGTGTTTTTAAGTTTTCTTGAGACCATTTTATCTTGAAATTATGGGATGATTAAATTCATATTACCCTCTATGAAAATGATTTTTTGCAGTGTGTGCGTGGGTTTTTGTTACGAATCAGAATTGACCATATTTTTTATGAGTATATGATGAATATTTAACTTTGAAAATATGAACCGCCACCACGCAAAAAAAAAAAAATGAAAAATATAAATTCACAAGAATTGCCTGATTATATTTTCCTGGTTTAATTTATTATTGAAACAACCAAAATTCCCGCTTCTCCGATGGTGTTCTGTTTGTCCTATCAAGGGCTTCATCAGGGCAACAGGAATAAATCCGATTGCTCCAAAAAAATAATCCGATGAAGAAAATATTGATAATACATTCCTGTAAGTGGTGCAGAGATGACTGTGGATGGATTAGGTAGGCTTCGTTTGCACATTTCATGACTTCACAAAGTGAGTTTTGTGTGTCAAGAAGATAGAAAATTTACAATGCAATAAAAAACTGTAACTCATTTCAATTATATTGCAATTTCAATTTAAAGTGTTCCTTCAATCAGGAGATAGGCAACATACACAACACTCCGATGCAATATTAATAATTTTACCATGTATTTATTGCAATCTGTGGCACTTGGTTTAATGGGCTTCTTGCAGTTCAATCATTCATATCAATTCATCAAGTAGGGTATGGTTCCGATCAACAAGAATCGATCCTCGTAAACAGATCGACAAATGATTAAAAAACTGAGGTCGATTTGAAAAATTCGTATTCGGCATGGTCTCGCATGATCTCCTTCGACAGTACACTGTGGGTCTGGGCTTTTGATTATGATGCATGTTAACATATAACAAATTCATGTTTTATACGAAGGTAAATAAATAAATACAACTTAAATACGCCCTATCTTGTGTCGGAGGCCAGAATCTGCTCAGGTGTCGGAGGGTTTTAATCTACAAAATTGAGGAGGTTATTCCGGAGGTCATCATACAATTTTATTCGTAGCCTAGGCGGTTCGGGAAGTGGTGGAACACGTTAGTGGTGGAAACTTCAGGAATTCTATTTCTAAATTTGAATCAGTGAGAACGCAAACACACCAACTCGGAAAAATGAAAATAATCAAGACGCACACAAAACTGCATAGTAGGTGAAGAAGTTAGTCCAAGAAAAAGTTTTTTGATGCCGAAGGACAAGCACTTAAAGACACTTTAAAGGTCCAAGCTGGAATAGATGCCTTTATGGAAATTGGCTGTCTTTAATGAAAATTGAACATTTCCGAGCTACAGAGTTGGTGTGTTTTTGTTCTCACTGATTCATTTCTGTCATACAGTGCGTCCGCGCTAATAAAGAAGGTCGTTTATAAATTTGAATTTTGCAATTAGATTTCTGTATCCTCATTCCCCCAAGACAAGTATTTCTTTCCAGACAATTTTATCCGATCAACTTATACGTACGATAAATACATTTCTTTGAAAATTTCAAGTACATTTCGTTCAAGAGCAAAGAGAATCCCTAGAAGAGAAAAATATTCTTAAGTTTTCTAGAAAATTCTCGCCCTATCAGCTGAAATTCGAAAAATTACAAATAATGATAAGACCTTTTATTAAGCACGGCAGAGTTGAGTCTCCATCATGCGCCCTGATCCGGATTAGATGCGAAGTACGGTTTTTTATGAAAGAGAGACCGACGTGAAAACGCGTTTTTTCAGGACTTACGTTTGGCCAGTAAGTCTGGAGATCAGTACGACATTAACCTCTTCTGTCACACGGATAAAAAATCAAAGAAAATGAGTAAGAAAGGATCAATAAAATTCAAATTTTTAGCCTTGGTTACCCATTTTGTGCGCTTTTTGTCCTCGTCACATTTCGGGCTAAATCATCGTTGTTATTGCGTTCCCTCTATTTGTATATCGCTGCTGATTGTCTGTAAGCGAGCAATTTCGCTCTATAACGAAAGTAATCTTCCTTCGACCAAAATTGGACGCATTTGACTCAAAAGAAACTACATCCGTTGGGACATAAGCCTTGCCAAGCATGCATTCTTATGGATCTTAGGGATTATGTCAGAATGGATTAGTTCCTTTTAATATGAAGACGTTCAATTCAATGTGCTTCCTAATTTCTTGTTTTTTTTTTTTGTTTTTTTTTTTTTTGAAACACTGAGGACAAGTGAATTTTCTGCGTGTGAAACTAGAAAAAGCTGTTTTTC